ATACCACTATATACGACTTATTGTCGACAGCAAACTACGTTCTTCTACCTGAATTCCTGTGAATTACTATTGTGAGTTTGATATTATCATCACAGTAAATATAATCTATGTACATGACAGAACTTATTCATGAGCACTGGCCTAATCCATTGATATTTTTCACAAACACATTTCAACATAACATGACCTTTGATGTTTTATGAATCTTCCTAGGTAAATATTAATCTGCCTTCAGATGACCTTAATTTTAAAATCTGTTTTCACAACCACTTCGATGTATCCAAGGGACAAGCAGGGGACGGAATACACCACTTTGATTTTTTTAAGCCAACAGCTACAGCACAGGGAGGCTACACATTGTGTTCATTCCAGGGGATATTGGCTAGCCAGCTGCTGCCCATCACAATCTGCAGGTGGAGACCATGGGAGAATTGTTCCTTAATCTCCATGGGTGTAACCGATGCAACTTCATATCTTTGTCTCATGCTATCAACCACAGACTGGTATGCCAGGGTGTTCCTGGATCTATACCTGAAAGCTGTTTAACGCTGTACTCAGCCATATTCCAGCTAAATGGCAGGAACAAATGTCTGAACGAAAAAGCCTCCCTGTAATACACTACAGAACAATCTTAGTTACAATTGATCTTAGGCCTCTACAAGCAACTTTACAATCACCATACACCACTCCACTTGCACAAACAAATCTTAGTGTGATTGTATGATGACTTTGATTTAAGATTGCCAAATCTACAAAGATGGAGGTACGAATTTCTGAAACTCAACTCCTGCACACATTTGCACACTGCGGACAGCTTGTTGCATATACTAAAGGTGGAGGTGATCACTGTACACAACATATGCCTCCCTCCATCACACCTTGCACAGTTTTCATGAAACACAATTATTTGAAGGAAACGAATACTGTGTTCATAGAATATAATTTTTTTCTCGACATTTAAACTGTTATGATCTCTTATTCAGGAGCTGATATCATTTGATATTGCAACAGGAGTTATATCTACCCATGTTTTATGAAATACTGAAATAAGAGTTTATACATTCCTACATTTGGGTCAAGATTTAGTGACACAATAGTTATGAGAATTACCATAAGAAAACCCCAACAATAATAATGTCTTATTACACAGCACATAAATGTATGATCTGACAATGTTGTCAGTGGGTTGTTGGTAAAATGCATCTATTTGGGGGTGATTTTAGTAAAATACCAAATATATCCCTAAAGGATACGTCTTGTTGCTGTACGAAAACAAATGTGCTATGGTTATGGGCGTTGTGAAATATGTATGGCAGGGAAATAAAAACAATAAGTAACATTTTGGGAGAGCAGTTGTTTCATTTACTCTATTACGCTGATAAATATTTTCTTTAAATGTGACATTCTTTCGCTTTTCATAACATATTTTACACAAACTTCCAATGTCTCATCATTTGTATTTACTTGTTTGATGAAATTTTGCAAATATTTAAATTGGTTGGTTGCTTGCTTGCTTTGTTGTTTAACGTCACACTTAGCAATATTCCAGCTATATGGCACCGGCAGCGGCAGTCTGGAAATAATCGAGTCTGGACCAGACAATCCAGTGATCAACAGCATGAGCATCAATCTACGCAATTGGGATACAATGACATGTGTCAACCAAATCAGCGAGCCTCACCACCCAATCCCGTCAGTCGCCTCTTTCGACAAGCATGGGTTACTGAAGACCAATTCTAACCTGGATGTTCACAGGTATTATATTTAAATTGAATATATAAAAACCCTTTGTTTTCCATTGACTCTTCAATTGATTTCAAAATCAGAAAGAAACGTGTATGACTTTGCATGATAACTGGCATCTAACTGAAGAACATTTTCATGATAAACTAAAGACAAAATCACTGACATGAATGTGGCTGAAAAGATAGGTGGATCCCAGCAATTTTACAACAATAATACATTGGGCAAGGCAAATTTAGAGGGCATATGAAAACATTTCCATCTTTAGCCTACAATTACCTGCCCTTGAGCTATCATAGGTCACGGCCACTACTAATCACTTGCAGACACCTTTCGTCATTATGATTCCCTTGATTATGGCAGAGACCATATACCGATATATGGTCTCTGATTATGGTAAAGCTATGTTGTTTCACACTTCTTCCAACAAGGACAAAGGTGGTATTAGTACTCTTGCTAGTCTAGTGGTTCACTACCGCAATTAAGGATGTTTCTGATGTTAAATCAGTTGTCCATTCTATGTGTTGTTGGAAGTGTCTATGTGAATCATACCCAGAACTGACGTGGCATTCTTTGAATGTAAAGTATATTGTTTGTATGAAACAGACCCAAACTTGCCACCATTTTGTCTAGTTCATTCACAGACTACAGTCTTAGCAAATAAAGACTGCCCCGGACCAGTCTCAAGTTTTGACACCAGCTTATAATCTTAGCCTACATTCGCTTTGTGATAGTGGATGGTGATTGTAGCCAGTGCCTAAAATTGTTTTGAGCAAGTGGACCCTGGCTGGTGACACATGACACGTGATTTACAACGATTGTATCATCATTGCTCAGAAGCCTCAAGTGTTTGGTGAAAGGGATTTTAATGGCAGATTCATAATAATCAACCCTTCTCACTTAACCCTGAGTGGAGTCCAAACCAGACTAGGAATATCCACCATTCTGAACAGGTTCCATAATTCAAACAGACACATTTTTATCTCCCACTGTACTTGCTTTGTAAAATATATATTCCATTTTTATGAGGATATGAGGCAACATTTTGTATCTTGTATGATATAGGTTTAACATCGGTGTAATACTGAAGACTGCCTGAAAACAATTTTTACTCATTCATTTCACGTGTGTTTAAATTTAAGGGTTTCTTCTGCATGAAACGGTTGGGTTAATGTCTAAATAACTTTTAAAAAACCTCTGAACATCATGTTTGCAAACCACCATGTAGATTGACAAACTATTCTATGAAGAAGTCTTTAAAATAAGTGTACTATTGCTTTTCAAGAGAAAATGTTTTCATTTGCAATGGACTTGGTTTCATTTGATATAGACTTTCCTTGGCTTTATAGTACATATTGTTTTCATAAACATCTAGCTTCCATAGCCACTGCAGAGGACTACTGTTTACCATAGGATGCCCAGTGAGCATGTTGTTGGTAATATCTGGGGAGGAAAATCTTCATTACATTTCTTGATGCCCATAGGTTAACATGTTCTGAAGACTGTCAGAAACAGGCTGATACAATCAATACAACTTGTAAAAATAACTGATCATTTTGTTAATTTATCTAATATTAATTGAAAATTTGAAAAAAAATAATATTTGAAATATCTGCAATATTACTTTCAAAGATCAATATTTTTGTCTAATAAATAACTGGTAAAATAACTATAAAAATACATTATTTGTGATGAAATTTAAAATAGAAAACAGTAATTGCTTATGATAAAGTCTCAACATCTTGTAGAGGTGATGCTGAATGGATTAATCACTGAATCTACTCATCACAAAACTGAGCTTTTCAAATAATAGATTCTCAACATTTTGCACATAAAGAATGACATTCTGGTACACATTTCTGACATGGCCAGACAACAGTAAATGAGGTTAGGATTTAATTGAAAGGCAAACCATTTCTTTTGATTAAAACTCCAGAATTTTCGACATTAACTGTTTGAAAGAAATTCCAACATGAGAGATTGATTGTTACTGGATAATTATTCCGACAGGCCCCCCATGGTGGGTTCTAGGGAAAAATCTATCGGCCTGTTGCATCAAGGCCTCGTGTAGTCATCTCTCAATAAAAGGCGTCAATGTCCTTCGAAGAGTGAGCTAGGGTGAAATAGACATGATGACTCATGCCACGAAATACATTACACTCTGTTACTGCTTTGGGCCATAGTAGGGATGAGCGTTGACACACACTAGAATGGTCAATTTCATGCGATAAAGGATCGCTGGTGACGTAAAAATGTAGCGAATTATTAGGCGAAACATGATAATTCTGATCTGTTTTCTCAGAATCTATTGCTGTCAGTAAAGATTTCAGATTTAATACATTTACAATTTGAAACAAAGTAGCTAAATTTCCATATTCTTGCATGTAACAAAATCCTTTTTAATACTATAGAAAAGAATGCTGACCTCAACCAAATATTTGCTACCTGCCTGAGAAACAATCTCTGTCTTATCACCCTCAGCATTCAGTGCATAAACTCTATTCAATGTTGGCATTATCCAATATCATTAAATTTGATTAGGCTGTCATTTAATTAACTTCTAGTGCAGGTTTCATGAAAAAAGTCACATTATTTTGTTAATGATACAAATTGATATAAATTATGGATAACAAAGCAATTTGCATAATTTAACAAGTTTTTGCACCAACAAAGAATTGTACTAAGAATATTAATTGTTCAGGAACAAAAGTCAATATCATGTACTTTTTGGTGTATTGTACAGTTGTCACTAGACTGCACACAGTATTACTTCCAAATCACACACAGAGGTGACACAACAGTTCTAATAAAAACAACATGTAATTGCAATCTGTTGGGCTGACTGCTATAAAAAGTAACCAATTAATGGAGTGGTGTTGATTGCAATTAACAGTGGTAATTAGATAATTGGCTTGATGTCTGTCATAACCTATATCATCTGTTATTGTTAACTTACAGACGTTTTATTTCATATTGAATAACATAATTCTTTGACAGATTCTGACATGACCATATAACCCGCAAAGACAGTATCAATCACTTAGTTGCCATGGAAACCATTCAAGCCAAACTCGATTAGACTTTAGTTCATTCCGAAACACACGATATCTCAGAGGAAATCGACAACACAACTTTCGCCTGTATGCCATCTGTTAGCTGATAAAGTTGGGGAGCTGTATAAAATTTCAACTACGACGCTTTGAGGTAAATTGGAAAATCATTCAATTGGAAGAAACATTCAGATTTAAATATCTCACCATTTGCAGCAACATCATTGAAGAAAATTGAAAATCCCACGAATAATATTCCACAGAGTCCTTTTGGTAAAGTTGAAAAGCGGCCCATAGTGGTATGATATCCCAGGCCAAACTTGGCACCGTTTTACATATCCTCTTCAGTCGAAATTGTCGACCCTTACTTGAATACAGACACACATTTCAGAGGTATATTCCATTCACAATCGCGTCAAATCGTAATCCTAGACTGTGTACAATCCATCGCAAGTTTACATGGCACTGCTTCTGCGTTGAACGGTGCTTACTTCGGCTTAACTGTCATGCGAAGACAGATTCACAATCCGGGCATTCATTTCCTGACACGGAACAGTTCATAGTGAGTCAGGGGGCGTTGGGACCATGCCAACCTATTTCAACACGCGTGAAACGCTTAGAAAATCGATCGAGCTCATGCGACACAACAGGGAATTATGTGTGCAATTACGTCAAGTTTGGCGTACTCACGGACCTCTTTGTTATAGAAATCTGTAAACATTCAACATATGCACATCGGGATTTTATAAATTTCTTATTTGTTTTCACCCATTGAAATAATGGACTGCGCCACCGCTGGCTCGTGGAACGGACACATGGTTGTGTTTTGGAATAGTGTAGCTGTCTGCGAGTGTCGACCGTCGGCCATCGAGGCAAGAATTTCGTCGAGAAAATCAAATTATTAACTTGAATGCACGGGCTTTATGATGGCAATGCCTTTCATTGATAAAAAAGGCGTATAGCCTGAGGAAAAAATAACGTGTAATGGGTCACGTGCATTATGATTAAAAGGATGCTGCTAAATTGTATGAATCGATTTTGAGTTGAAATTGTTCTTTTTGGCAAATGATTGAATAAAAGTATCTATTATTAAGATATTCATTCATATTTAGACATTGTTCCATCTGATATTATTGATTTCATATTCCCAGACAGATACATGCATCCTACCCATGCTGGAACGATGACTCATGTGTGCGTGCATGTGACATTTGGTATCTCTTTGTATGTAAAACAAAGAACATTTATTGAGAAAGGATAGCCCGAGCTAATGGTACTGATGTTGATACATTTTGGTGACAATGTTGCAACAGATAGTTAACATCAATATTAAATATGTTGACTTTTATACCGCTTGGTGTTGCAATATGAACAGTTCAATCATAGAGAAAATTACTGTTATTTAGCATGCAGGTTGTAAGTGATTTATATCCTTGGTTTTAATACTTGTCACACTTTGAATAGTATATTGTGTCAGTTTAGATCAGAAATATCACAGTAACCATTAAATGTTATATTTGTTATACAGTGTGTTTGCTTTGGAAATTTTATACTCATAGATAATGAATATTTCTACAATTGTGTACATGGTGTATTTCATCAAGCATGGATGTTTGGTAAGATTTGGTACATGGTGTATTTCATCAAGCATGGATGTTTGGTAGGACTGTGTACATGGTGTATTTCATCAAGAGTGGATGTTTGGTAAGTCTGTGTACATGGTATATTTCATCAAGCATGGATGTTTGGTAGGACTGTGTACATGGTGTATTTCATCAAGCATGGATGTTTGGTAGGACTGTACATGGTGTATTTCATCAAGCATGGATGTTTGGTAGGACTGTACATGGTATATTTCATCAAGCATGGATGTTTGGTAGGACTGTACATGGTGTATTTCATCAGCATGGATGCATGGATGTTTGCATGGATGTTTGGTAGGACTGTACATGATTTGATCAAGCATGACTGGTGTATTTCATCAAGCATGGATGTTTGGTACGACTGTGTACATGGTATATTTCATCAAGCATGGATGTTTGGTAGGACTGTACATGGTGTATTTGATCAAGCATGGATGTTTGGTAGGACTGTACATGGTGTATTTCATCAAGCATGGATGTTTGGTAGGACTGTGTACATGGTATATTTCATCAAGCATGGATGTTTGGTAGGACTGTACATGGTGTATTTCATCTAGCATGGATGTTTGGTAGGACTGTACATGGTGTATTTCATCAAGCATGGATGTTTGGTAGGACTGTACATGGTGTATTTGATGGTACATGGATGTTTGGTAGGACTGTACATGGTGTATTTCATCAAGCATGGATGTTTGGTAGGACTGTACATGGTGTATTTCATCAAGCATGGATGTTTGGTAGGACTGTACATGGTGTATTTGATCAAGCATGGATGTTTGGTAGGACTGTACATGGATGTTGGATGTTTGTAGGACTGTGTACATGGTGTATTTCATCAAGCATGGATGTTTGGTAGGACTGTACATGGTGGCATGGATGTTTGGTAGGACTGTACATGGTGTATTTCATCAAGCATGGATGTTTGGTAGGACTGTACATGGTGTATTTCATCAAGCATGGATGTTTGGTAGGACTGTGTACATGGTGTATTTCATCAAGCATGGATGTTTGGTAGGACTGTACATGGTGTACATGGTGTATTTCATCAAGCATGGATGTTTGGTATTTCATCAAGGATGTTTGTGTACATGGTGTATTTCATCAAGCATGGATGTTTGGTAGGACTGTACATGGTGTATTTCATCAAGCATGGATGTTTGGTAAGACATGGACATGGTGTATTTCATCTAGCATGGATGTTTGGACTGACTGTACATGGTGTATTTCATCAAGCATGGATGTTTGGTAGGACTGTGTACATGGTGTATTTCATCAAGCATGGATGTTTGGTAGGACTGTACATGGTGTATTTCATCAAGCATGGATGTATTTCATCAAGCATGGATGTTTGTTTGGTAGGACTGTGTACATGGTGTATTTCATCAAGCATGGATGTTTGGTAGGACTGTACATGGTGTATTTCATCAAGCATGGATGTTTGGTAGGACTGTACATGGTGTATTTCATCAAGCATGGATGTTTGGTAGGACTGTACATGGTGTATTTCATCAAGCATGGATGTTTGGTAGGACTGTGTACATGGTATATTTCATCAAGCATGGATGTTTGGTAGGACTGTACATGGTGTATTTCATCAAGCATGGATGTTTGGTAGGACTGTACATGGTGTATTTCAGCCCCTGTAATGCCATCATATCCCAGTTGCCTAGATTGATGCTCATACTGTTGATCACTGGATTGTCTGTCCTGACTTGGTTATTTACAAACTGCCGCCATATAGCTGGAATATTGCTGAGTCCAGCGACAAAGACAAACCAACCAAACACAGCTAAACAGTTTGCTAGACTCTATACTAGACTTGATGTTACCCCAGCCACTGAATTACAGATTGTTGGAATCACACCAAAATCCAGGCTTCAGCGGCACCCAATCTTAGAGAGAGAGAGACCCAGACACTGACTGATACATCTGTAAATTACACTGTTTTTCTGTTTTTGTTTATTGGTTATTATATTATTTAGTATTGATGTTTGGCATGGTCATGACCAACAGATTTGTCTTCCCTGATTAAAATGCAACCCTGGTTATAATGCCATACATCTTCCAGGAATAGTGGTGACATTATAGCCAGGGTGCACTGTTATAATAGCTGGCTGGAGTAATCTTTATACCAACACTGTTAATCACTCCAGCAGACTGACTGTTTGAGAGCATCAGTACACAACAAGCGTTTACTTGAATTACACTCCATGCAGCTCAAGCGAATGTGCAGCTTCTTCTAACATGTATATGGTGCACTGATCTACTAGGAAGGCTTTGAGGAGCGGTGGAGGGATAGTTTGGGTGCACTGATTTATTGGGAAGGCTTTGAGGAGTGGTGGAGGGATAGTTTGGGTGCACTGATTTACTGGGAAGGCTTTGAGGAGCGGTGGAGGGATAGTTTGGGTGCACTGATTTACTGGGAAGGCTTTGAGGAGCGGTGGAAGGATAGTTTGGGTGCACTGATTTACTGGGAAGGCTTTGAGGAGTGGTGGAGGGATAGTTTGGGTGTACTGATTTACTGGGAAGGCTTTGAGGAGTGGTGGAGGGATAGTTTGGGTGCACTGATTTAGGAGCGGTGGAGGGAAGTTTGGGTGCTTTGAGGGAGCCTTTGAGGAGGCGGTGGAGGGGATAGTTTGGGTGTACTGATTTACTGGGAAGGCTTTGAGGAGTGGTGGAGGATAGTTTGGGTGTACTGATTTACTGGGAAAGGCTTTGAGGAGCCGGTGGAGGGATAGTTTGGGTGTGATTTACAAGGCTTAGGGGAATGAGTAGAGGGTATTTGTACATTTACTGGGAAGGCTTTGGAGGAGTGGTGGAAGGATAGGTAGAGGGAGTGGAGGGATTTAGTGTACTGACTGATTTACTGGGAAGGCTTTGAGGAGTGGTGGAGGGATAGTTTGGGTGTACTGATTTACTGGGAAGGCTTTGAGGAGCGGTGGAAGGATAGTTTGGGTGTACTGATTTACTGGGAAGGCTTTGAGGAGTGGTGGAAGGATAGTTTGGGTGTACTGATTTACTGGGAAGGCTTTGAGGAGTGGTGGAGGGATAGTTTGGGTGTACTGATTTACTGGGAAGGCTTTGAGGAGCCGGTGGAGGATAGTTTGGGTGTACTGATTTACTGGGAAGGCTTTGAGGAGTGGTGGAGGGATAGTTTGGGTGTACTGATTTACTGGGAAGGCTTTGAGGAGCGGTGGAAGGATAGTTTGGGTGCACTGATTTACTGGGAAGGCTTTGAGGAGTGGTGGAAGGATAGTTTGGGTGTACTGATTTACTGGGAAGGCTTTGAGGAGTGGTGGAGGGATAGTTTGGGTGCACTGATTTACTGGGAAGGCTTTGAGGAGCGGTGGAGGGATAGTTTGGGTGTACTGATTTACTGGGAAGGCTTTGAGGAGTGGTGGAGGGATAGTTTGGGTGTACTGATTTACTGGGAAGGCTTTGAGGAGCGGTGGAGGGATAGTTTGGGTGTACTGATTTACTGGGAAGGCTTTGAGGAGTGGTGGAGGGATAGTTTGGGTGTACTGATTTACTGGGAAGGCTTTGAGGAGTGGTGGAGGGATATTTTGGGTGTACTGATTTACTGGGAAGGCTTTGAGGAGTGGTGGAAGGATAGTTTGGGTGTACTGATTTACTGGGAAGGCTTTGAGTAGTGGTGGAGGGATAGTTTGGGTGTACTGATTTACTGGGAAGGCTTTGAGGAGCGGCGGAGGGGTAAGTTCTGTGATTAGAAAGTAATATAGAGGGTTTGGGTGTATTGATTTACTGGAAAGGCTTTGGGGAGCGGCAGAGGGGTAAGTTCAGTTATTAGAAAGTAATATAGAGAGTTTGGGTGTACTGATTTACTTGAAAGGCTTTGGGGAGTGGTGGAGGGATAGTTTGGGTGTACTGATTTACTGGAAAAGCTTTGGGAAATGGTAGAGGGGTAAGTTCAGTTATTAGAAAGTAATATAGAGGGTTTGGGTGTATTGATTTACTGGAAAGGCTTTGGGGAGCGGCGGAGGGGTAAGTTCTGTGATTAGAAAGTAATATAGAGGGTTTGGGTGTACTGATTTACTTGAAAGGCTTTGGGGAGTGGCAGAGGGGTAAGTTCAGTGATAGGAATGTAATATAGAGGGTTTGGGTGTACTGATTTACTGGAAAGGCTTTGGGGAGTGGCAGAGGGGTAAGTTCTGTGATTAGAAAGTAATATAGAGGGTTTGGGTGTACTGATTTACTTGAAAGGCTTTGGGGAGTGGCAGAGGGGTAAGTTCTGTGATTAGAAAGTAATATAGAGGGTTTGGGTGTACTGATTTACTGGAAAGGCTTTGGGGAGTGGCAGAGGGGTAAGTTCACTGATAGGAAGTAATATAGAGGGTTTGGGTGTACTGATTTACTTGAAAGGCTTTGGGGAGTGGTGGAGGGATAGTTTGGGTGTACTGATTTACTGGAAAAGCTTTGGGAAATGGTAGAGGGGTAAGTTCAGTTATTAGAAAGTAATATAGAGGGTTTGGGTGTATTGATTTACTGGAAAGGCTTTGGGGAGCGGGGAGAGGGTAAGTTCTGTGATTAGAAAGTAATATAGAGGGTTTGGGTGTACTGATTTACTTGAAAGGCTTTGGGGAGTGGCAGAGGGGTAAGTTCTGTGATTAGAAAGTAATATAGAGGGTTTGGGTGTACTGATTTACTGGAAAGGCTTTGGGGAGTGGCAGAGGGGTAAGTTCTGTGATAGGAAAGTAATATAGAGGGTTTGGGTGTATTGATATATTGGTAGCCTTTCATGGGATTTGAGGTGTACTGATGTACTGGAAAATCATTTTTGGTGTGGAGACGTACTGATGTTTTGAAACGTGAGGTTTGGGTGAACTGATGTGTTAAAAAGTCATTCAGGATTTATTCGAAATTTGGATGTACTACTTTATGTACTGGTAAGTCTTTAGATGACCGAACTAATATATTTAAAGTCATTTAGGGAGTAAGGTGCACTGTGGTACTAGAAAGTCATTTAGTGAGTTCAGATATACTGATGTATTGTAAGTCATTCTAGGGATTTGAGCATTCTGACTTATTAAAGGGTTTCCAGGGGTCAGGGTGTACTGATGCATTGCAAGTCATTTAGGAGATTTTGGCTGACTGATGTATTGGAAGTTGTTTCTGAGGTTGCAGTGTACATTTTCATCTATTTCATGAGAATGTTTATGAATTACTGTCAAAGAGTGATGATATCAGGTGTTCACAAGCACATCCTGACCACTGGTGGAGTGAGGGTAATGTTTGTCATTGTGAGATTGTTTATGAATTACTATCAAAGAGTGATGACATCAGGTGTTCACAAGCACATCCTGACCACTGGTGGAGTGAGGGTAATGTTTGTCATTGTGAGATTGTTTATGAATTACTATCAAAGAGTGATGATATCAGGTGTTCACAAGCACATCCTGACTACTGGTGGAGTGAGGGTAATGTTTGTCATTGTGAGATTGTTTATGAATTACTATCAAAGAGTGATGATATCAGGTGTTCACAAGCACATCCTGACCACTGGTGGAGTGAGGGTAATGTTTGTCATTGTGAGATTGTTTATGAATTACTATCAAAGAGTGATGATATCAGGTGTTCACAAGCACATCCTGACTACTGGTGGAGTGAGGGTAATGTTTGTCATTGTGAGATTGTTTATGAATTACTATCAAAGAGTGATGATATCAGGTGTTCACAAGCACATCCTGACCACTGGTGGAGTGAGGGTAATGTTTGTCATTGTGAGATTGTTTATGAATTACTATCAAAGAGTGATGATATCAGGTGTTCACAAGCACATCCTGACCACTGGTGGAGTGAGGGTAATGTTTGTCATTGTGAGATTGTTTATGAATTACTATCAAAGAGTGATGATATCAGGTGTTCACAAGCACATCTAATGTTTGTCATTGTGAGATTGTTTATGAATTACTATCAAAGAGTGATGATATCAGGTGTTCACAAGCACATCCTGACCACTGGTGGAGTGAAGGTAATGTTTGTCATTGTGAGATTGTTTATGAATTACTATCAAAGAGTGATGATATCAGGTGTTCACAAGCACATCCTGACCACTGGTGGAGTGAGGGTAATGTTTGTCATTGTGAGATTGTTTATGAATTACTATCAAAGAGTGATGATATCAGGTGTTCACAAGCACATCCTGACCACTGGTGGAGTGAGGGTAATGTTTGTCATTGTGAGATTGTTTATGAATTACTATCAAAGAGTGATGATATCAGGTGTTCACAAGCACATCCTGACTACTGGTGGAGTGAGGGTAATGTTGGTCATTGTGAGATTGTAAGTAGGATTTAATGTTGCTTTGACCAACTTTTCTGAAACACAAGGGCCAGATAATGAACATCATCAGGGTCAGGCTTGGATTCAAACCAACATGAAGGAATGATAAAAAGAAGGGAAGCAACTCTATACAGTGAATTGCAGTGACTTTGGAATCTGGTCAACTGTTGTTTAAGACAAGTGTTTCTATTGAGCTTGAAATATGATCACTGTTCTGAAACTGTATATTAGTAAATAGTGGATCCTTTGTCATTACAGGGGAAGTGGGGTAGCCTAGTGGTTATGCTCATGCCAAAGATCTGGGTTTGCTTCCCCACATGGGTACAGTATTTGGAGCCTAATTCTGGTGTCTCCACTGTGATATTGCTGGAATATTGCAAAAAGTGGCCCTAAAACCATACTCACTCACTCTGTCATTACGTCTGTACACAAGAGCTACTGATCCCTCCTCATAACACTGACTTGACACAGTCAAACAGTCCGCTGGACTCTTTACTAGACTGATGTTTTTCAGTGTCTGTTATCCAGTCATCAGCCATCACTTTGATATGTTAATTGAGTTAACAGACTTTGAAGCCACAATGGTCAATATTAAGTAGGTAGACAGAAATTAATGGATTTCAACCAAATTAGCCCACCAAATCTGTCAATGGTTGTATAAGGGTTACTTGATGATTACTGAACCTGTCTCAAGACTGAGATCTGGATGATAAAACTTGGTTAAATTTAGACGAGTTTCAGACATCACATGCGTAAACCAGAAACCTGTGTCACTATTAGTGTTTATTTCTGACGTTTCTTTACTGTATTGTCTCAGATGAATCTTTTCCAGTTTCAATTTATGATTGAAGTAAGTAGAACCAAGTAAAATAAAATAATAATTATTCTTGTTTATGTTGAAACATATGATCATTCGTTGAAGTTTGCTGAAAGTTACTGACAAATAAGCCTCCTGACATTTCCTCACAACATCCTTAATGTCTTTTGTGTTCTTTTATCTTTCACTGAATATAACGCTCTTCCGAGGAATCATTTCTTGGGGTTCACATTATATAAATACATGAAGAACCGCTGCTATGATACAGTATGCCGGTGTATGATGTGGATGTTAATGTTGGAGTTATGTTAACTTCAGCCATTCGTAGGAAGTTAGTTTATTGATTGCCATGACATGCTGTTGATAAATGATATCTGTGGTATAATGTTAGTTAATCAATATCTATAGCATGATGTGGTGCATATCAGAGGCTGTGACATGTAGTGTATCCTCAAGCAAGGGACTGTCACATGTAGTGTCACCTCAGACTAGGGGATGTGGTGTATCCTGAAGCAAGGGGCTGTCACATGTGTCTTCTGAAGCATTTAGGGGTTGCCACATGTAGTGTCACCTCAGACAAGGGGATGTGGCGTATCCTGAAGCAATGGGCTGTCACGTGTCTCCCGAAGCAAGGGGTTGTCACATGTGGTATCACCTCAGGCAATGGGATGTCACATGTGGTGTCACCTCAGACAAGGGGATGTGATGTATCCTGAAGCAAGGGGCTGTCACGTGTCTCCCGAAGCAAGGGGATGTCACATGTGGTGTCACCTCAGGCAATGGGATGTCACATGTGGTGTCACCTTGGGCAAGGGGATGTCACATGTGGTGTCACCTCAGGCAAGGGGATTTCACATGTGTCACCTTTGGGCAAGGGGATGTCACATGTAGTGTCACCTTGGGCAATGGGATGTCACATGTGGTGTCACCTCAAGCACAGGGATGTCACATGTGGTGTCACTTCAGGCAAGGGGATGTCACATGTGGTGTCACCTCAGGCAAATGGATGTCACATGTGGTGTCACCTTTGGCAAGGGGATGTCACATGTGGTGTCACCTCAGGCCATGGGATGTCACATGTGGTGTCACCTTGGGCAAGGGGATGTCACATGTGGTGTCACCTTGGGCAAGGAGATGTCACATGTGGCGTCACCTCAGGCAAGGGGATGTCACATGTGGTGTCACCTTGGGCAAGGGGCTGTCACATGTGGTGTCACCTCAGGCAATGGGATCTCACATGTGGTGTCACCTCAGGCAAGGGGATGTCACATGTGTCACCTCAGGCAAGGGGTTCTCACATGTGGTGTTGCCTCAGGCAAGGGGATGTCACATGTGGTGTCACTTCAGGCAAGGGGTTGTCACATGTGTCACCTCATGCAAGGGGTTCACACATGTGGTGTTGCCTCACAAGGGATGTGGTGTTGCCTCAGGCAAGGGGATGTCACATGTGTCACTTAAGGCAAGGGGATGTCACATGTGGCATCACCTAAGGCAAGGGGATGTCACATGTAGTGTCACCTTGGGCAATGGGATATCACATGTGGTGTCACCTCAGGCACAGGGATGTCACATGTCGTGTCACCTTGGGCAAGGGGTTCTCACATGTGTCACCTTAGGCAAATGGATGTCACACGTGGCATCACCTCAGGCAACAGGATGTCACATGTGGTGTCACCTCAGGCAAGGGGTTATCACATGTGGTGTTGCACCTCAGGCAAGGGGATGTCACATGTGGTGTCACCTTTGGCAAGGGGATATCACATGTCGTCACCTCAGGCAAAGGGATCTCACATGTGGTGTCACCCAAGGGGATGTCACATGTGTCACCTCAGGCAAGGGGTTATCACATGTGGTGTTGCCTCAGGCAAGGGGATGTCACATGTGGTGTTGCCTCAGGCAAGGGATGTCACATGTGGTGTTGCCTCAGGCAAGGGGTTGTCACATGTGTCACCTCAGGCAAGGGGTTCTCACATGTGGTGTTGCCTCAGGCAAGGGGATGTCACATGTGGTGTTGCCTCAGGCAAGGGGTCTGTCACATGTGGTGTTGCCCTCAGGCAAGGGGTTCTCACATGTGGTGTTGCCCTCAGGCAAGGGGATGTCACATGTGGTGTTGCCTCAGGCAAGGGGATGTCACATGTTGTCACATGTGGTGTCACCTCAGGCAAGGGATGTCACATGTGGTGTTGCCTCAGGCAAGGGGATGTCACATGTGGTGTTGCCTCAGGCAAGGGGATGTCACATGTGGTGTTGCCTCAGGCAAGGGGATGTCACATGTGGTGTTGCCTCAGGCAAGGGGATGGCAAGGGATGTCACATGTGGTGTTCCTCAGGCAAGGGGATGTCACATGTGTCACCTAAGGCAAGGGGTTGTCACATGCGGTGTTGCCTCAGGCAAGGGCTTGGCACATGTGGTGTTGCCTTAGGCAAGGGGCTGTCACATGTGGTGTCACCTCAGGCAAGGGGATGTCACATGTGGTGTTCCTCAGGCAAGGGGATGTCACATGTGTCACCTAAGGCAAGGGGTTGTCACATGTGGTGTTGCTTCAAGCAAGGGATGTCTCCTCAGGCAAGGGGTTGGCACATGTGGTGTCACCTCAGGCAAGGGGTTGGCACATGTGGTGTTGCCTTAGGCAAGGGGTTGTCACATGTGGTATCACCTCAGGCAAGGGGATGTCTCCTCAGGCAAGGGGATGTTACATGTGGTGTCACCTTTGGCAAGGGGATATCACAGGTGCTGTTGCCTTGGGCAAGGGGATGTCACATGTGGTGTCACCTCAGGCAAGGGGATGTCACATGTGGTGTCGCCTGAGGCATTGGGCTGTCACATGTCGTGTTTCCTGGGGCAAGGGGCTGTCATGTGTGTCTCTTGAGGCAAGGAGCTGTCACATGTCGTGTCTCCTGAGGCAATGGGGCTGTCACATGTGGAATCTCATGAGACAATTGGCTGTCACATGTGGTGTCTCCTGAGGCAAGGGGCTGTCACATGTGTCTCTTCAGGCAGGGGGTCACATGTGGTGTCACTCAGGCAAGATGATGTCACATGTGGTGTCTACAGGCAAGGAAGTGAAATCCCTTGGTAACCAATAGGATGTCAAGTCTTCATTCTCAGGTTTGCTCACAGTGTCTTTCCTGTGAATCCTGGCCATGTAAAGGATCAGTGTTACTGTTCCATGACCAGTAAGTAATAGTAATGGGTCTGGAAGGCTCTCGTCACACTTGTTCTTGATGTGGTTTGAATGACAGATGCTGTACTGTGTACAGTTGAGATGAGCTATGACAAATTGTACAGGGTGTTTATAATTTACAATGTCCTAATTGCTCAAGTGACTTTGGCAGTAATGTGAATATTACCCACCCAGGCACAGAAATTGGAGAATTACTTTCTATGGTTTCAACTGAGATAGATAATGCTGCTTCATGGTAAAAGGGTCATGTAAACCTATTGACAGTTGAAAGCAGTCCAGGGGTGGTGGGGTAGCCTAGTGGATAAACATTAGCTCATCACACCGGAGACCTGTGTTTGATTCCCCTCATTAGTACAATGTGTGAAGCCAATTTCTGGACTCCTTGCCCTGATATTGCTGGAATATTGCTAAAAGCAGTATAAAACTACTCGCTCCCTCCCTCACTCACTCACCGACCCACCCACCAACTCACTCACCCACCCACCCAATCACTCACTCACTCACTGAATGCAGTCCATATCAAGATAATCTATACATTGTTGTAAATAATTTAAGATCAGGCCAAGTTTCCATTCTTCATGACATCACAGAAACTATTTGTGAAAATATCATGAGAAGAAATGGTTAACTTACAAGTCAGGCATTGGTGCCCCTCTGTGTCCTTAAATTGTATTTAAAATTATAAATTAACTATGCATGACAAAAAGAACCTGCTCCTCTTAAACCTATGGATTGTAAGTCCTGGGTGAATACTTGTTGCAGTGTTGTCAAGTCACAACCTAATTACGTTGATTCACTGAGACACATAATCTGTTCTGGTCTAAAGCTTCATCTCAGGTTAGAAACCACTCCATTTGCTTGAGTAGCCCAAACTGTCATTTCCATGTTCTCAAACAGACACAGGCAAAAATTATCAGATATTTTCATGTGTTGGGACACAGTTTTATGTATATGTGACCAAGGCCTAGATGATCTAGATTCAGCATTGATTTTGTTTTTGAGACAAATAGGAATAAAATATATGATTGCCACTGAAATTCTAGGTCAATCGTAAAAGAGGGAATGGCATTTTCTCAGCCAGAGGTTCATTACCAGCTGTCTCAGCTGAGACAGTCATAAATTATATCAAATGGTCTTGCTGGGGTTTTAATGTCTACTGTTAATGTCCTAATGATGTGGAACATTATGAACATAATTTTCAGAAATATCTCCATTATATTGATATGAGCTGCCAGAAATTGAGATACAATTATACTTTCAGACAGGATTTAGTACACTTTGTCTCTGGCATTGAAGGTCTTCTTATAAAGCCTTCAGTTAATGATATGATTAGTACTATAGTTACACACAAGACTCTAAGGTAATAATTAATAGTTTCAATGATAATTTCTAAAAATGTAAATGTCCCTCTAACAGACTGGCATCCTGTCCCCTTATCTAGACTTGCCTCTTAAAAGGATAAAATTACTATACATCCATGAGCTTAGCCTTCAGTACAGCCTTGGAGCAAGGCTGTATTATAGTCAACCTGTGGCCGT